ATCATCGTGAAAGTTGAGATTTAAATTTGTGAATCATTTTTAACAGGAGACAATTAATGCATGCAATAAGATTTGCCACATCATGAGAAAAATTGACCAAATACTCAAAGAGTACTGGAAGTAATAATACAAGTAGAGTTAGTAAACCAGGAAAATAATAATATCTGTTGTGTTTTAGTTACATATATGGTGGTTAAAAGCTTATACTGGTATTTTCTAACAGTTAAACTTAGCACCAGTAATTGATATTTAATTTATACAATTCATAGTATTACACGAGATCATGCAGCATTGGGAATTGGCAATATAAGCTTTAAAATCTCTCCGTTCACAAAAATATATAACCTAACGATTTATAAAATGACTCAAAACAAGGCACCTTACATTGTAATTTGAATCCTTTTACATGCCAAAGAAAACTTTTGTCTAAAAATCTATTTTAATTAGTGCCAGTATGAAAATTATTTAATTTTCATATACCATACTATTTCCCATGTGAATTTTCAAAGGGCCAAGAGATTCATCCTTTCTCATTTCACTAACTTAAGGATTAATGACCTTGACCTTTAATGACAATTAACCTCCTTCAAAAGTAATTGATATGTAATGACCATATGACAATTTTTAAGGCAAACCTATTTATTCATAAAATATAAAAGGATTGACCTTGAAACTTAATTTTATTCAATACTTTCTAACTTTTCATCTCACTTTTGGATAAATGACCGAAGACCTGTCTGTTGCAAAAATGACCTTTGACCTGTAGCAATTTTAATACAATGACCTAAATTAAACACTAAGTGACCTTGACATTTATTTAATCTACAATATGACCTTCACAATAGCTTATTATGCAAAGCCTAACATGTCACTGGTATAGGAAATTTTGCTGAAAATGTGAAAACAACCTTGTTTTCATATTTCGTTGGGTTTTATTAAGTCACAGCAACACTGCAAATTTAAGTCATGTGACATTTTATCAAGATTTACTAGTTGAGGAAAACCAACTAGATCCCTTTTTTGGGAATTACTAGGCACAAAGTGGGAAGCAGAGTAGAACCATGGATGTTCAGTTTAGCTAGATGGACACCAGTTCCTCGAAGGGAAGCATCTGAATATCCTAACAATATTTGAACCTACATTGATGAAGGGCTGGCAATGTTTACAACTTGACGACATTATATTAAATGAGTGTGCAATGAAGAAAATGTTTTCAATAAAATTCTACATATTTAAAAAATGCTCAAACTAAAAAGGGCATACCCCTATGCCACTGCCAAAAAAAAAACAAAACAAAGGGGAAATTTTCCCGATGGGGGCTATGAGGAATGTTTCAGATTTTTAAATTTTTTTTTTTTTTGTTAAAAAAATTTAAACCAAAAAAAAAAAATATGCCCCATTGCCGTATTTTCCTTTCTTTGTGTTAAACCTTCCCTATTTTAAAGGTTAAAGAGGTTGACTATTCATTTTTTAATTTTTTCCGAAATTTAAAATTTAAAGGGCTCCTTTCGGACTGTTAATCATGCCCAAATTTTTTAAAAAAACCCAAAATGTCAATAAAAATTTACATACCACAAGTTTTGACGACTGTTCATTATCAGATAACAATAACATTTTACAACTGACGGTTCCTTATCAAAATATTCTAGGACTGTTCATCATAAATTATTTTATGTCATTTTAATATTATTGAATGATAATAACAACTGCAGTGATGCAAACATTTTTATTGAACATAAAAATTATACACGTTTAGATGTACCATAATTGAGAATCAATAAGATACTGTCTTGTGATGAGTATTAACATTCATGCTCTACGGACAGAAGGTTGTCTTCTTCAGAAGCAAATCTCGAATAAAATCACGTTTCAGAAAATTAATCCCATTTCATTACTGACGGCGTCGGATAATATTAAAGCTAAATATTTCTTGAAAAAATACATCTCTGCAAAGCTTATTCAAAACTGAATCAACCTAAGTGAAAATTGATCAGGAAGTTATATCTTCTTTTTTTTACCGCCAACACTCAACACTCAACCAACTTATGGTAGTTAATCGATAGATTCTACGTGTATTTTTTAAACCTCACTAGCTTGAAATAATATACTGCGGAAAATCTGTTGTTAACAGGGTGTGCGGTTATTACGTAGGGTTTTCCCTGTCGACCATTTCCCGCAAATAGATGAGAACATCGAAGCCGTCAGTGCTATGAATGGTGTTATAAAATGGCGTGTTTTGGAAGTTTTTGTTGAAACTTCTCCAAATACCTCCAGAGGCGTGCACGTCGCGGAGAAGGCACACGGAAGGTCATAGTCAAGTCATCATAAGTACCAGAGGTGATTGGTTGACCTGTCGTGACTTACTCTGGAGGTTTGGCGCTAATAGATGCCGTTTTGTTGTCGTCAGTCAGAAAGTTGATGCCTTGACGGTATTGTCGTCTCCTTTACCACCAAAGAACGAAGAATGGGCTTCCCAGGAAGAATCTGCTTGAAAAAAAGACGTCCCAGATGCTATAATCTCGGACATATGGTTATTCCGGCGCCGAGTATAAATAAACTTAAACACACACACTTTTGTTGAAAACAAAACAACATCACATTTTCTGTAGTAATTTTTCAAGTGTTGTAAAATGAATAAGAAATTCCTCTTATGCCGCCCATTATTTTTAGAACACAACCATAAAAGTTCTTTTTTTTTATTTTTCAAATAAACATTTATCACTTCAGCGCGAGCAAATATCGGTTTCAAATTAAAGTTTCGTAAGATATGTTAATGACTTCCCGATGCTCGACTGTAAGTAATTTGTATATGTATGCGGTTTTTTTTTGTTTTTGTTTTTTTTTGTTTTTGTTTTTAATTAAAGCTTCTTATTCTTTAATATTTTTTATGTATCTCATAATCTGTATTGAAAATTTGAATTTTATTACAAATGGACTATCAAATTATGATGTATGCCCTAGAATTGAATAAACTTTCTAATTACACACAATACGGGGTCATACTGATCTTGCGTCTTTCTCTGAAATACTTATTTCCTTGTTAAAACATATTTGACCACATATTTCTGTCAATTAACTGTTCACTTTACTTCCGATTTTGTTGTACGGAAACACATGTTTCTATTGTGTTTTCTAATTCAATTCGAATCTATAATCAGTTTAATGGGATCACCACCGGGTAAACGACTACTAGGTACTTTGGTCATGTTTTTTACCACAAATATTTGAATGTTTCTATTGGGATTAAAATGAGCATAGTTAACTAAACAACTGTTTGTATAAATTCCTGACCTGTCTAATTCTAATTATGAGATTAGTGAATATATAAGACTTTCACTACAAAATATTCCTAAACAAAAGAGCACATGTTTAAATTTATTCCTATACAAATAAAAGATCAGAGTAGGGATCTGTCAATTACCAAAGATACTTTTATGTTAAAAGTTTGATTAATGAATTATGTAAGATGAAAATATAAGTATTGCTTTTTTTATTTTTGCTAATGTAAAATGTAATATTGTGCTGGGATTTTGTCGAGGTCCTTAGGGGTTTTGTAGTTAAATAGTTTTTTTTCGGCGATAATGGTTAAAGAATAAAAATGTTTTTAAACTATATGTTCATCACCATCAGTGAATTTTTAGTTAAATGTATGCAAAATATTTACTAAACAGCTATATGATTTAGCGGTTTTTATGAGCGTTTTCCGCGTACAGCCTCCTGGGGTGTACAAATAAGTTAGTTTTCCTTAGTTATCACGCAAGCATGATCCATGTCTCTGATGTAAGCGACAGTTTACAATTATTTGTCTTTAAAAAATATTAAGGACTATTAATAGTTTATAACAACAAAAGCACATGCAATATTTAGAATTTTAGTTTTCAACGTTCTAATTAATGACCCTTTTAAAAAATTGGCGTGCAGTGTAAATTGGGAAAATTTTTACAAAAATTAAAAAAATTTTTTGCCAGAATTAAAGCAATTTTTCTTTTTAAAATTTCATTTTTGCTTTTTGTTTAAAAAAAAATGGATAAAATTTTTTTTTAAGGGTTTTTTATACCAGAAAAATATTTAATAAGACGTACGTAATAGCCCAAAAATGATTTTCCCGGGGCCCCGGGATTTAGTCCGAGTAGTAAATTTAAAAAAAATCAAGAAATTTTTAAATTATTATCTTACAAATTTCCCAAAATGAAATTAAAAAATAAAATATTTTCAATTGGGAAATTCTGTATGAGTGAGAGTCCCGCTTTTGAAAAAAAACAAAGTACCTTTTTTTTGACCCGGGAAATTTCCGTTTGGCCCGTATGACGTCACGGAGTTAATATTTAAACAAAAAACAAGAATTTTTTTAGAGAATTATTATCTTTCAAATTTCAATATGAAATTAAAAGATGAAAAAAATTTTTATATTGGGAAATGTCTTGTTTGATGATAGGCAGCTTAGAAAAAAACAAAGGTTACTATTTTTGACCCGATTACCGCAGGCAGGGAAATTTTACAGACAGTTATTTAAAATTTGGGTCGGATAGCCTCCCAAAAACCCCCCAATTTATTTTTTGTTTGATTGTTGTAATAAAACCCTTTTTATATAAACCTTTGGGTTTTGGGGGTTTTAAAATAAAGGGGCCTGGTTTTTTTCCCCGGGAAAATTTGGGGAAACCAAAATTATAAGTTCTTTTAGATTTTTTTCAATTGGCCCCTAAACCCTTAAAACCAAATTAAAAACAATTAAATTTCTTCTTCCCTACTTTAAATTTAAAAGTAACACAATTACAATGGATAATACAATTACATTTTTCATAAAAAAAATAGATGGCCACTTGTAAACCAGTATTGACATACTCTATAATTATGAACTAAATACATCATAAGACTCTTTATTATTCAGTCTGGAGATAGCTAACAAACATTCTCTTAGAAATGTTGTCGGCCTCATAAAACCATTATAAATGATATTCCTAGCATGCACACGAGCATACAAGGTAGGAAGGAAAACCTACTTTGCTAGATCTACATCACTGTTCATATCATCATCCGTATCATCGTCGCTCTCCGTTTTTGGTGGCTGAAATTCATTGCGTAACTGTTCTCTACGTTTTCTTATAGCCTCCTCAGATGCTTCTTTCTGTAGTAACATCATACAAGTCATCATAAAGATATTCATACAACTACATCATAAATATATTCATACAACTAACTACATGATGAAATAACAGTATACAACTACATCATCAATATATTCATACAATTACAGCATAATGATATTCATACAACTACAGCATAAAGATATTCATACAACTACATCATGAAGTAACATAATACAAGTAGATCATAAAGTAACATCATTCAACTACATCATAAAGATATTCATACAACTACATCATGAAGATATTCCTACAACTACATCATTAAAATATTCATACAACTACATCTTTTTGATATTCATACAATTACATCATCATCATTAAATCACATCATAAAGATATTCATACAACTGTAACGAATGTGCAAGTCCATGTAAATGATAAACCAGGTTATGTAATATTGTAAAATCTTTTTTAAGCCCAAGAAACCTTGAACATTAATTGACCTGAATTCCCATCAAACTTTGTGTTGTTCCCTGATATAGTAATTACCATGTATTTTTTTCTTGTATTGTATTTGTATTGTATGTAAACAGAGAATATGTATATATAGAAAAGGGCAAATGTTAAAACAGCAAATATGTAGGATATGAGTCAATAAACAAATTGTTACTATTTTTAGAAACAGTATTAAAATGACTGATAAAGAAGGAAGTACAAACTAGCAACTTTATATGCTTCATCAAATCTTTTTAGAGAATATAATAAAATTGAGGCTTACTTTATGCTGTTTCTCTTTGTCTATCAAATCAAACAGACCATGTCCGAGGCTCACATTTCTGATCATGTTCCTGTAATATCAAATCATCACAGGGTTCAATACACAATGTATAAAGAGAATATAAAGTGAGATTATAGAATCGTTAAAGGGACTCCACTGAGGTTTTATGACATGAAGGGACTAGAAATTCAAATATTTGGCAACCATTTAATGCAGGTCTGACCTCAGTGGAGCTCCTTAAATAAAATTGAGCCGCGTCACGACAAAACCAACATAATGTGTTTGCGACCAGCATGGATCCAGACCAGCCTGTGCATCTGCGCAATCTGATCAGGATCCATGCTGTTCGCTATCGGTTTCTCTACTTGTTATAGAGTTTGTAAGCGAACAGCATGGATCCTGATCAGATTGCGCGGATGTGCAGGCTGGTCTGGATCCATGCTGGTCGCAAACCCATTATGTTGGTTTTGTCAAGACACGGCTCAAATAAATGTGTTCCCTTATAATATATCATTTTATTCAAAGAGTTTAATAAATTCAGTTATGAAACTATTATGAAATGACATATGTAATAGAAAAGGCATCAAAATACGAGGCTATCTGATAGTGTACTTATACCACTGTGCATGCATATGTATATGATTTAACTCTGACACATGTTCAACAGAATTTAGGTTCCCAAACTATTGATGCAAACTATGATACAAATATACAATATAATATGTGATTCACAAAGAGATAACTATAGAAAGAGAAATCAATATGGCTGTTTCAGATGAAATTTTTTCATTAACTTAAAAACAGAATGATTGTTTTGTTTTCGAATTCTTCATTATCAAGAATATTCTGACTGTACCTAATAATTTAACATAAAAATAACAAAAACATTTTACCTTCCATGTACAACAGCCTTGTTTAGAGTATTTAAATCTTTCCTTGATCTCCGTAATACAAACTTTGCCGCAGTGAACTAAAACACAAAATACAATAATATAAGTGATGTGTTAAAACTGTAACCTATATAACAGGTACAAAACTTTTACTCACATTGTACATGTACATGTACATTTGAATTAACAGAAAAAAATAACTCCCATTGGCCAATGGGAAATGAACATTACAAAAAAAGTTTGTTTGTTTGTTAATGTTTGATTGGGTTATTAATATGTCACATCAACACAGTATAATGTCATATGGCGACATTCCAGCTTTACTGGTGGAAGAAGACCTCAGGTGCCAGTGAAGTTCCATGCATTATTTCAGGCACAAATGTGCACCTTAGTAGAACAACAGACTTTCAGTAACCTTACTGGATAGCTTCCTCATATGAAAGAATCCAAAGTCGATGTCAGGATTCAAACCCAAAGTGGTGAGGGGCAAGTGGTTTGAAGTCAACAACCACTCGGCCACAGACACCCCCTACAAAAATAGTGCGTGGTAACAAATAGAACATATTGTGAGAAAAAGCTAAGTAACAAAGTTTCTACCAAGTATTATACCATATAAATATATTTTACTGTTTAGCCAAAAAGAAATGAGCCGCGCCATGACAAAACCAACATAGTGCTATTGCAACCAACATGGATCAGATTCCATGCTGTTCGCTTACAAACCGTATAACAAGTAGACAAACTGATAACGAACAGCATCGATCCTGATTAGACTGGTCTGGATCCATGCTGGTCAGAGATGCACTTTGTTAGTTTTGTCATGGCGCGGCTCTTAATGTAATTAACTGAGACATACAGCAGGTTTAGGAGCTGTATCTTTCTTTTCTTCCTCTTCATCCGACTCATCAGAACTGCTGGATGAACTTGCATGTTCCTGAAATATACATTAGAAAAAATCTACCTCATAATCTTCCATTAATGTCAATCCCTATTCCCTAAAGCAGGGACATAGACATGTATGCACATCAAAATTGCAAGAAAGATAAAAATGTTTTGTTTTTTTTAAAAAGGGGAGTAAAGAAGAAAATTAAAAATTGTTAAAAACTGGGGGCTGGAAAACTCTGAGGGTGAGACATAATAATGTTCAATGCAAGCTATGTCAAGGGCAACTGGTGGTTCCATTGGTATGCCGTCCTTGGGAAGAAAGAGAAGTTATAATAGTCTGAAGTGGCTGTGAATTACATATAAGAAAAGCTTAACCATGTAAAGGGATAGATCATTTCCTTATATTTTCTCAAATTCAAATTTATTTATCTTCCAATCTTGACAGAGAGCATTGATAAATCAATGCTTTTTAGATTAAAATGTACTATACATAAAAGTTTCATTACAAATTTATATGACTGTTGAGTTAAATTTTTGTGCTTTCATTGACATTCCTCAGCTAAAAGGATTGTGTGGTATGATAATTAAAACTTATATTTGCAGTAATGTACGTACATCTTGAAGTTAAACATCAATAGAACTTCGATATATATTATCAGTTATAAAGATTTTTTCACAGTTATAATTTTGCTGTATAAATCAGGTTTTATTGGAAACATATGTTTATATAAATATGGTCATATAACCTGTCTAGAATCTTTATAACAAATTAATAATAAAGCTTAAGAATTTTTTTTTATTCATATATTGGCAACTGTCATGTATAATAGAGACTATTGAACGAGTGTCTAAAGCTCAATACTGAATTTATTGAACGAGTTGAATTAAGTAATATCACGCAAGCCTCTGGGGACCATAATATTATTTTATTCAACGAGTTCAATAAATTCAGTAATGAACCTACACAAATACAATATTCTTTTTATGACATACTCAAAATTACGACTGTTCAAAGTGAAAAGATTCTTTTTCAATTGATGCCCCTATAGTGATGCTCACATTTAGCGCGTCTCTACACTATGCGTAACGCAAATGATGTCATGTCAAAAATATATGCAGTACCATTTTTACAGAGTCGCAAAAGCTGCACGGGTATGTGATATATAGTATTTATAAACATCATGATTAGCCAATGAAAAGAGATGTTACAAAAACTTAATGTGCAGTATCACAGAGCTATATTTAAATGGAGAGGAAGCTCATGACATCATACAATTAAAATCTGTATCAGGAAATCGGCCTATCACACGTTCACATTTTTGCGAGATTTTCCGAGACATGATATTGGACACAAGGAAATTTACTTATATGTACGCGGCCATGTTATCAAAAATTTATGGTAATTAAAAGAAAATGCAAAAAAAGGACTTTCAAAAATGAATGTAAAAAATAAAAAAAATAATAAAGATTAAGAAGATGTAAATTATTATCAGTAAAAGATGAAAATGTAAATGAATTTGGTTACATAACATGGCAGAAGCTGATCAACTGCAAGGGCCAATGAATCTCGTGCAACCTGGGATTGTGGGTCAAGATTGTAAAATGTTCTATTTTTAGAGTTTGAATCCCTCTCTTGCAGTATTATATTATTAGTTATAAAGATTTTCGACAGATTATATAGCCCTTAATATTAACGGTTGTTTTGAAATATAACCCGAGCCACTAGGTTAAGGTTTTAAAGCAAACAACAGTTTAAATACAGCCATAAAACCAGTCAGAAAATTAATGTTTATAACAAATTTAATTTATACAGCAAACATCATTTTTTTTAATTTTTTTTTTGGTGAAAAAAATGAGATTTCTTCATAAATTGACTGCAGTCGTGTATAATAAAAAACTATATTATAACATAATGCATATCCAATGAAAAGCCATGTTAAAAACATGCAGTATTATAAATATATATATGTACATGTATATATGTATATGTATATGTTTGTGTAAGCTTGTTTACATGATTGTAAAGCTGCCAAAAACTCATGATTAAATCGCAATTTGCAATCTGTAAATCAACAATTTATATCTACAAATGTCAAAACTTTAAAGGAAATTGACATTGTATTTTCTTACAGGTAAACACATAGGTATAACATAAACAATACCTACTTGAAACAATCTTTGATAAAGTTCAGATAAGAATATATATTAAAGATAAAACTAAACACTGTATCATTATCTAAATTCTTCCAGTAAGTAAGTATGTTTAAATAGCTAGCTGATGAATTTTTTTTTAGGGTATACATTCTGTAAAAGGACTTGATTTAATAATGACTTGTTTAAACTTACACATAACTTGCCCAGGTAAGAATTTGCCCACCAACAAAATTCTTATGATTAAGATATCATTTTATCATTAACAGATCTGTACCATGGCAAATGGACACTTTTTAAAACTTAAATAAAAAGACACTCATAGAAAAATGAACAAAACAGTTTGTCGCACCAGTACTCCTTTTTTTAGTTATTGAATTTTAATTTAATAAGTTTATTTTTTTCCTTTAAGTATCTAATAATTTCTTCATACATTTTAAGCAAAATAGTTTCTCTCCTTATTAGTTTTCTACTAGAACAGGTCTTCAGCAGTGTCTGAAATATGTACTTTAAAATTAACCCTTTAAGGACATATGACTGGTGACATGTCTGGGGTCCATACTTGACAGCAAAAGAGGCTGATAGACCCTCAACTCAATAAAATGATAGACCCTCAACTCAATAAAACATAAACAATGAACAATAACAAGTGAATAGCATGACATGTGTATCTTAAATATTTAAGCATGGAATAATGGTTACATAATATATATACCTCGGTCCACTGGCCAAGTGCATGCAGTATCATCTTTTTCTCATCGAGGTAGAAAGGATCGCCTATTCCCATGTAAGGTTTGTGACTTGCTGATCGGAAGCCCATGTTAGATAACTGATTCTGCCGACGGAAGTAATTACTTATGAACACTTCCTCTCGTGATGGGCTCTCTAGATTGAAATTTAACTTATCTCGAGCCAGTAATTTAACCCCCTTGCATGATGGGATGGGCAAGGGGACT